AAACCCTCAGATTTTTTAACATAAACCAATAATGTAATGTGTGCCTTACTGTAATCCATGGTTGTTTCCCTTCTCTTTGCTGCTCTTCCTTTTAAATCCTCATATCTTCTCATGCTGGGGGAGAACTTCCCTTTGCAGCTGAGTGACTCTTCCTGTAGTGCTGGCTCAGGTTGTGAACCTACATACAGACACCATGTATCCATTTCAGAGACAAGGCAGTCTGCTGCAAAACTGAAGTTCTCCCCCAGCATGAGAAGAGATACGGATTTAAAAAGGAAGAGCAGCAAAGAGAAGGGAAACAACCATGGATTACAGTAAGGCACATATTACACTATTGTTGCATGTTAAAAAATCTGAGGGTTTAATGTCACTTTAAGAATTCATGTTCTGTTTCCCAGCTCTATTTTCGGTATGCCAGATGAATGCTGCACAATATCTGTGCCATGCAGATCAAAACGCAAGACAAATCACTAGGAGCCATGAAAATCTATCGCCAACTAACATTGTCAGTTTTTAATTTACTGTTTCATGCATCAGCAGATTAAGGGTATGAGCTTCTGATCTGCATATGTCAGTTAACCCTTTCGCTGCCAGCATTTTATGCCGTATGTCGCTGGCAGCGCGCCCCTCTAGAAGCCAAACTGTTCAGCTATGCAAAGCCAATGGTCGGCTTTACACTGGAAGCGACTCTGGTAGGCTGAGCTACCCCCAGAGTGCTTCCCTAAGTGATAGCAATGGAGTACAGGAAAAAAAAAATCAATTCCCCTGCCCCTTGCGCACATAGTAGCAAAAAAAATGCATCAGGTGCGCCTACGTAAATGTTGATTGCGCAACACATGTTCGGTATCTTCGCATGCACCAGAGTGAAAGTAATCATTCTAGGGCCAATATTCACAGTCAACTCTAAACTGATGATCTGATGACTTTGAAAGCATCACCTACGGACACAATTTGGGGTACTGTATTTTGTCATCGTTTTACGGGCGCACACCATTCTTCAGCTTGGTATGTTGGGTATCTACTTACTCAGCATAACATTTTTTTTTTTATAAAATAGACATGGGTTTTTGAGCACTAACATTATCCTAAAACGTAATTCTTACTGAAATTTTGGGTTTGATAAAGAGCTGTGCTAATATCATGCCACGTATAAACGTGCCACCACTTTATTCCACAGGGTCAGTGCTTGCAGAAAATATACAACTCTCCGGGGTTTTAAGTAATTTTCAGGCTTAAAATGTGGATTATAAAATATGTGCAAAAAAAAAAGCGCCCGGCAGCAAAATTGTTCCTTTTAAACTAGTTTTAAATTCTAGTCTACCCCAATCAGCCCTACTTAATTCCGTCTCCGCTTAACTATTTTTATTCCCTTTAAGAGAACGATATCAAGATCAAGAACATGTTCCAGGTAAGCCATGAGATGGTTTTACAAACATAATTTTACTGTTTGGTCCAGAGTTTAGCTTTATGTAGAGAACTCAAGCACCCGACAAAGTTCCCAATTCCCCAACTAAATTCTGTATATACACTGCACATAACAAAATATTCCTCAGAAAAATCCCCATTCTAAATATTGCCATTAACAGTAAACCTATTCTACAAGAACCAATTAGTAAAAGCAGCAAAAAAAACATCACTGTGATTCTGGATTGCACCTGCACTGTGTGGTACGGTACGAGACAAAATAAAAAAAACTTTGAACAGATGCTCAGGGAAAAAGCACGTGTCTGCTAACACGCCCCCCAGTTCCTAGTTCACCGCACTGTACAAATGAGTAGAGAACACAGTGGTGAAGCCATGCACAATTTATTAACAAAATAAAAGAAAAAGAAATAGTGACACGCCATTACATCTACCTGCTGAGCGCAGTACACTAAAGTAAACAAGACACAATCAAGTCACCACACCGAGCACAGATGAGGGGCATTTCATATTTGCAATAAAAAGAACCAGCCTTCTAATAATGCAAGAATTGTGTACAACATTAGAGAATCTAGACACAAAGTGCAAATGTCACAATGAGTATGCTTTGCATGAAATCATACATTTTCTCTAATGATCATGGACAGAAAAAAAAAGACATTAAAAAAGGAGAACTATGAGGTGAGTGATTTTCACTCAACCTCATAGTTCTAGCCGACCTGTGACAATAAAACTGTCACACGTCGGCTCAATAGACCGGGAAGTGAGCGAACACATACCGGCGCACGCTCACTTTTCCATCATCTCCCTGCAGAGAGCCGTGACTGTCACTCACAGCTCCCTGCAGGGATTCTCCCCCTCCCCTGTCCGATCCTCCAGTGCTGACTGGCGGAACGGACGGGGGAGGGCACAGCTGGCTCTGTCTCTAGATAGGCAGAGCCAGCTGTCACTCACGCCACTGGGTGGATCTCGCCAGTAATGTCGAGATCCGTCCCGGATGCGGCGGGCTCAGTACACCGCGAACTGTAGCTGGCGGTATACTGAGCTTTGGGTTACAGGAGGAGGTTAGTTTATGTCCTCCCGTGACCCTTAGGAGAACTATGGGGGAAAACAATTACCCCATAGTTCTCCTTTAATAAAACATATATGGCATCCAGCTTGTTATCAGATGAGCCGAGATGCAGCTTATAAAAAGTATGGAGACGTGCACATGTTTCCATAGCCTGCAAGAAACAGTAAATCATACTGCTCTTTAGGCCTGGATCACACTGAGCGTTTGGTAGCGCTTTTGCTGCCCTGAAGTATGCCCCCCAAAAAATCCCATTCATTTCTATGGCCCTGTTTACATCTGAGCGTTTGAAGCTGTTTTCTGTAATCTATGTATACTGCATAGACAGCAGTTTTCATAACATCCTTTAAGACATGGCTAACAGTCACATATTTAAAGATATATTTCATGACCAAAATGACCAAACCAAGGGGGGGGTGGAGATAGCTAATAACCAAAAATACCCAACTAAGGTAAATCTCAGGTTGAGTGAAGTTGCGTTTGTCTACCTAATGGTAGGGAAGTCTTATGGACAGGTAGTGGTAATTGGACTTTAAATAAGAACATCGGGCAAAACGTATTAACCCTTACAGTGAGGCTACCCCACATGGCAAGGGCTAAAACACTCATTTCTGTCTAGGTGCGAAAAAAAAAAAAAATTCTACTCACCCGATTCCTGAGCTGCCTTGCTCTAACACTGGTCCCTGGAGCGTCTCTCCACTGCAGCCGTCCGAGTTCCACTAAATCATCACGTTCTATACGCCATGTATAGACGTGAGAACACTGAGGATGCATGGCAGGAGGAGAGAGGCTATAGTGCCCGGAGAAGAAAGCAGCCATCTCCGAGGTTTGGGTGAGTTTAACTTTTTTTTCACCACCTAGACAAAAAGAGCACTTAAACCAGGGGTAGCCCCCAGTGCAAGGGTTAATCAAAGCTTTGCCCAAAGATCTTCTTTAAGCAGTCACATCTATCTATCTCTATATTATAGTTCTTCTCTCTCTAAAGAGAGACAATAGAAATAAGAGCTGAACATAGGACCAACTGTAACTGGTGCAAACTCCCTAAAATATTATCACAGCCCACCACCTTCCAAGCCACTCCCCCTTACTGAATCCAACTGTTCTGCTCACCGCAGCATCTTTTGTATTTTTTTTTTTAACCTGGCACTGATGTGTGTGTGAATCCACCAGCACATCCCTGTCATTCCTTCACAGGTTATGAACAAAAACACTACAAGTCCCCTCTGCCACCACAGCAGAGGAACTCTTAGCTCTCAACAGGAGCACAAGTGCAGTGACATCTCCACGTTTAAAGCCCATTAATAACTTAGCCAGCCCCGTACCCGAAGATCTGTACGGACCTAGGGGGTGCAGTGACGTCACCACATTTAGAGCGAATTGAAAACTTCCCCAGCCCTGTATCCGGAGATCTGTACCTCTATATGGACCTGGGGGTGCAGTGACGTCACCACATTTACAGCACATTGAAAATTTCCCCAGCCCTGTACCTGAAAAACTACCTCTATACGGACCTGGGGGTGCATTGACGTCACCACACTTACAGTCCATTGAAAACTACCCCAGCCCTGTACCTCTATAGGGACCTGGGACTGGGGGAATAGTATGCATGAGCCTGTGCATTGCACCTGTGATCCACTGATCACAGCTTCAATGCTTTGCAGACTAAAATGCAGAAAATTAATAAATGCTTTTTTTTTTTTTTTTAACGTAGGTGTTTTATTTACGTTTTTGGAAAAGGTGAATTTCGCTATTAGTTGTGGCTTTTGCTGAACAACTTGATCTGCACATAAATATGGAGAAAACCAAAATTCACATACTACGCTTGCCATTTCATGCATTACCACATACGGTTACCAGTTTTACTAATTGTGGTTCTTTAAAACAGACATCACATTAAAACGTGAGCTCTCATTACATTTGGACCCCCTGTCCTGTAAAGATCACCGCCTTCAAAAATATTCTGTAAAGGAAAACAGATGATATTCTTACCGTACCCCTATCTTCCATTCATGGCACCTAAGTGAAAGTGATGTCACGCTCCATCTAACAAGATCATGTGGAATGTATGGCAGCACATAGTTCAGGAAACTGCACTCTTCAATTTAGAGTTCTTGCAGGAATTGGGGTTCACTTTGTTGCCCAGGATCCCGCCAGAAGGATAGTGACATCACACCCTGAAGTGCAAAAGATGGCAGCAAGATAAGTATAGGTTTTTCTTCATGACAGGTACACTTTTGAAGTACTATTAGACAGCAACATTTCAGGGAGAGGGGAGCCCAGACCTACCTTACCGCAACAGTCACTGTAACTGCTACTGTCAGTTACTATGACTAGGCATGTGAAATGAAACAAAAACTGATTGAGTTAATGGCAAGCAGTACAACTTCCAGATAGCAGGGGTCCTCATTGAGTAGGCCCAGGGTAATCAATGCATCACATAAGACTAGCTCAAGTCACACATCCGGCAGGACACACACACATTCATAACCCAGGAGGCGCGCACACACACCTGCTGGTTCTGCTGACGGTTCTTGGTGTATGGGGCCCTTCCAGAGCTCAGGTGATACCGCCGGCTTCGGATTTTGCCTCCTGTGCCTAATCCTCCTCCTCCGGCTGCCGCCATCCGGCCGACTCCTCCTCGGGTCACGCCGGCCCGAGGCTCTGCCGTCACTCGGTACAGCTACGTAGACAAGGCAGTCCGCAGAGGCGCCCTTCCACACCGAGCCTGAAGAAGCAGGGCTGCCTGGCTGTTGGGTCTGGTGCGCACCGAACTCGTTCTTCGGAATACCACGAACACGGGCCCTCCACTCCTCTCGGTTTAACCGCCTGCCTGGAACTGCGCTCGTGCAATTCCTGTGTGACGCAAGGACGTCTAAGCGCGCATTGGCTGACGGGAAGCGTAGTTCGCTTGTACCAGGGGAAAAAGGAAGAACTAAGCGCGAGGCGCTCCACAGAGGCCCGTGACGTGAGGTTGCGTAATCAGCCGCGTGCGTCTCCTGGTCTGGGGCAGTGATTGGTGGATTGTGGAGGCGGGGCCTTATGAAAAGCGGACTGTATTGTGCAATCGATCTGTAGAAGGGGGTTTTGACCCTTGTCACGTGGTGGCGAATCCGATGAGCATATGATCATCAGATAATGTGGTTAGAGATGGGCAAAACGGTTCATCTGCATGAGAGCTCCTCTACGGATCGCTCACTGAAAAGATCCGTCTCTTTTAAACGACTCATGGTTCACTAAACTGCTCTTTTTACTATGGTAGGAGAGGAAATGAGAAGGGGGTGTAGTTTGAGGGAGGGAACGGGAGTTATTTTTAAAGTAAAACCATTGCTTGTCTGTTATGCAGAATACCCCCAGTATTCCCCCCACCACTATAATGCATTGCTGGGACTTGTAGTCCTACATAGTTGGTACTATTCTGCGTTGCTTTATAATAATCATACAGCAATGCAGAATACCACCAGCTATGCGGGACTACAAGTCCCAGCAATACATTATAAAAAAAAGTCAGCTGGGCAAAATATCTCTCTGAGCGGATCTCAATCAGTATAATTGAGAAGGCGCAATTATATCTATATCTTGATCCATTGAGAGCCAGATTCAAAGATGCAAAGGAGCCAAAAGAACCAAATCATTCCTGAGTTTGTCTGACTCTTGCTCTAAGATCATATTACAAGAGCTGCTTACAAAAGCAGCTCTTGTTTCACTCTCTGCTTCTACCGTGTTTCCCCGAAAGTAAGACCTACCCCGAAAATAAGACCTAGCACTATCTCCAGGGATTTCTGTAATATAAGACCTACCCCGAAAATAAGACCAAAAAAAAAAAAATAAGACACTGTCTTATTTTCGGGTAAACACGGTATATTCCATCCACAGAGAGCACAGACCAGAAGAACTGCCGCTCATTTTTACTGAGCCACCGCTCTTTCATTCTTCTGAGGGAGCCGCTCAATAGATCCGGATCGCTCATGAGCTACCCATCTCTAAATGTGGTGTGCTGGTAGACGTTAGCTTGGGTGTACCCCACAAGTCAAAGTGGACGTTCCATGCCAAGCGGAAGGTGTGCTCGGCTGCAAGCCTCCCGATTTGCCAATACAAATAACCCTTTCACTGCCAGCACCTTTTTTTTTTTTTTGCACCCACATTTTAGCGCTGAAGATTACTGAACTCCCTCACACTTATATATTTTCTGAAAACAGGGACCCAGGAGCATTACATGATGGCAGCGAGTTGCATGTTTTTATGTCACGTGGGATTAACTCAATGGTTTCTCAAACCCATGTCTTAAGTACATAAAAATGCAATTTTTTTTTAATTCCACACATACACTATAAAAATCATTTTTGGTCAAATATAAAAGAGGAGGTTGTGTAGAATAGATACCAAACATGTAATAGAAGAACTCTGGGCATGTTAAACATTAACCTTTGAAGTAGGGCTACCCCCACACTGCAAGGGTTAAGTGCTTGTTTTGGTCTAGGGTCTAAAGTTAAAAAAATATACTCACCTAATCTTCAGTCCTGCAGCAGTCAATGCTCACTTTCTCCCCCCTTTGATCCAGCTGTGGAATGTCCCTTGGTGTCCTCAGGTCCAATGTAATTGAATGGATGTGATGATGTAATGGGTCATTAGACCGCTGGAGCCTGGGGGAGGAGGGGCTGGTCTAACAGCCAAGCAGGACCAAGGACCATCTTTTTTTAAAAATTTTTAGACCCTAGACCAAAACAAGCTCGTAACCATTGCAGTGTGGGGGGTAGCCTCACTGCAAGGGTTTACATTTAATGTGCCCAGAGTTCTTCTTTAAGCCTTAAAATTGTGCACGCCCATGGCAGACTATGGTACCCTAAATCATCCCTAGTTATCACCGCCATTCTCAGCAGCAGTGGTGTGCAGAGGCGGCTCTTTAATTAGGCAAATTAGGCGATCGCCTTAGGCCTCGCGCTCCCGAGGGCCTCGCGACCGCCTAATTTGCCCTTCCGTCACATTACCTCACAGCCAGGTAACGTCGTGAGCTCTTAGCCCTGTCGCTGTCAAACGGAGGCTCTCCGTTTGACAGCGACAGGGCTGAGAGCTTATCTGTTTCCTCGGTCCGTCCATTCGGCCAGTGGTCTTCTGGAGCTCCGCCCACCAGCCACTCGGAAGCCATCTCAC